ACGTAGGTGAGGCCAGAAGTTGGGGGCAAAGACTCACTTGTGCCCGATGGCTCAAAGAAGGGTAAGAGAGAGAGAAGAGTTACTGAGAACTAGGATGTATGAGTCAGCTCTGGCTGCTGTAACAAAGTACCACAGACTGGCTTAAACAACAGAAATTGATTTCCTCACAGTCTGGAGGCCAGAAGTCCAAGGTCAAGGTGTTCACAGAGTTGGTTTCTTCTGAGCACTCCCTCCTTGGCCTGTGGATGGCCTTTTTCTCACTGTACCTTCACATGGTCTTCCCTCTGTGTCCTAATCTCTTAAAGGATTCCAGTCATGCTGGACCAGGGCCCACCCATATGACCTCATCTTACTTGAACCATCACTTTAAAGGCCCTATCTCCCAAAAGAGTCACATTCAGAGGTACTAAGGTTCATGACCTCAATGTAAGCATTTTTGTCGTCGGGGTAAGGGGGTCCCTACAAATCAGCCCATACATAACATAGTTACAAACAGAAAATGACTGGTCCCTCCCCACTCCCCCATCCCCACCCAGTGAATTCTGAAAGAGCTCCAGGAAAGGGTTTCAGAAAGGCTGGGGGCTGGCTACTTGCCTGTTTTCTCTCAGATCCCCTCCCACCTTCTGCAAGGAGTCCCCTCTCTCCAGTGATTCCCAAGGAAGGAGGTTCTTTGATGCTCCTTGCTGTGTGGCTTCCAGAGAGGTTCAGCCACGGGACAGCAGAAGCCAGAGGAATGGAGAAGCCGGTGGAACTTGCCCTTCTCTCCAGCTCCGGCAGCAGCTGCTTTTTCCCTGTGGCTCCATCTGGCTTCCCCCAGGCAGCCCTGCCTCCTGGGCTGAGGTCACCCCACCTTCCTGCAGGCAGGAGCCCTGCCTCCTGGGCTGAGGTCACCCCACCTTCCTGCAGGCGGGTAGCAGTTTTCTGCCGTTTCTGTTCTCTCCGTCGCCTCCCTGTCCGTGTTTGGTGTGTCAGCACCTTCGGAGTGTCTGTAGCCAGCTCTCGGTATTAAGTCCTCCATCAGTGGTTTCTATTTCCCTGACTGGTAGAGACAGAGACACCATCAGCCAGGGAGGCAAATGGTGCGGAAAAATGGGAGGGATGAAAACTGAGAATGGTTAGATCTTTGAGCAATGAGGGGAGAAGCCACGGTTTTAGGGATTAAGAGGCGAATCTCTGCCAGTCTGTTGGGCATATACCAATTCCCGTTAAGGTTTTAATTTGCAGATGCCTTTGAGATTGAGCACCTTTTCATGTTTATCTGCTAAATGGTTTTTTTAAAAAATAAATTTATTTACTTATTTATTGTTGGTTGCATTGGGTCTTCGCTGCTGTGCGCAGGCTTTCTCTAGTTGTGGTGCGCGGGCTTCTCATTGCGGTGGCTTCTCTTGTTGCAGAGCTTGGGCTCTAGGTGTGTGGGCATCAGTAGTTGTGGCATGCTGGATTATTTGGTACAAAATTGACCAAGGGTAGTGGTGGTGGTGGTTGGTTTGATCCCTACCTTTATAGGGCCTGGGCATTTGCTAATCAGCAAGATTTAAATAACAATTGTTTCCCTTTGAGGCCCTGATCCTGGCCCAAGCCTCTGATCTATTCTTTGGCTAGTAGCTTATTTCTATCAGTCCCAAACTGCATTTTCCTTTTTGAGTGTAAACCCATAATAAAAAGGACTATTGGTTTAAAAAGTTTAATTCACTTGATTTTTAACTGCATATGTGTATGCAGATAATCATACTGACATTTTCCAGACAGTCAAATATTCAAAGAAAAGCTCTTCACATTTTATACTTTTTACCAACGAAACCTCATGATTTAAATTAAATATCTGGGGAATTCCCTGGTGGTCCAGTGGTTAAGACTCTGTTTTTTCACTGCTGAGGGCTCAGGTTCAATCCCTCGTTGGGGAACTAATATCCCGCAAGTCCCGGGGCATGGCGGGGGAAAAAAACATTAAATATCTATTTATTTTTTTGGAGGCCAACTTTTCAAATAGATGGCCATTCTTGAGACTCTGGGGATCTCTGAATATCATTTGTTTTTAGCAGTCCAACAGTGTTGTGGAGGGAACAGTTTTCTTTTACCTACAAAATAGAGACTATGTACTTTAACTGCTAAAAGTGAACTGTTTACAGTTCAGCTACTTATTTATTTTGGCTGCACCGGGTCTTAGTTGTGGCACTCGGGACCTTTAGTTGCGGCATGCGGGCTCATGGTTGCGGCACGTATGCCAGATCTAGTTCTGTGAGCTGGGATCAAACCTGGGCCCCCCTGCATTGGGATCAAGGAGTCTTACCCACTGGACCACCAGGGAAGTCCCTACAGTTCGGCTATTTAAATTTCAGTGTCTACTCAAGTTTCCTACTAGACTCGGGTTATTTCAAAAACAAACTATCCTTCCCAGCTCTGGTCATTTGACTTATTAGCATTCTGAATGCTTTCCAAGTTCAGACAGAGCTGATGTCAGTATAACAGGCTTCCCCTGGGGAGGAGCAGTCATCTATTTAATGGGGGCAGGACAGCTTTCCCTAGAGGAGTAATATTCTTTTGGCTTACACTCTGCCCTGTCCCCAAACCATCATTTCCAGGGCATGTCTCCTAAGGGCTGGAGACTAGAGACCGATGGGAAAGTAGTTGTTCTTTTTTTTTTTTTTTTTTTTTTTTTGGTGGTGCTGCATAACATGCCTGATCTAGTTCCCCGACCTGGGATCGAACCCGTGCCCCCTGAAGTAGAAATGTGGAGTCCTAACCACTGGACCACCAATTAAGTCCCAGGGAAGGCTGTTCTTAGAGAAAGCTAATCACTCTGATGGATTACTACTGAGGTGGTCTTCAGTCACTTGGCTGTCAAGCAGTGCCTTCCTTCCTGTAGTGACGTTCCTATGAATCACAGAGTCTTGCTTTTAAATTCCTACTCTGGTCTTTTTCTCTGCAGCAATTTGGAAGAGGCTTGTTACGAGTCTAGAGCAACCCAGATGCAGGGAATGACAGAGGTGACTTTAGCACTGCTTCTTGAACTGTGAATCACCTGGGGATTTTGTTAAAGTGCAGATACGGATTTGGTGGTTCTGGGGTGGGGCATGGGATCCTGCATTTCTAGCAAGTCCCCAGGTGATCCCAATACATTCAAGGACCAAATTTTGAGTAGTGAGGGACTACAGGATGTGAATCAGGGACATACACAGTAAGATCCCCTGATGTCTTATTTTTACATCTTTCCCCTTTGCTATCTGGGGATGATGAACCTAAGCTCCATCCCTGAGCCTTTTCACATCATTTTATGTGGGATCATAAACAGGGCCTACTGTGTGACTTCTCTTACTGTATTCCTTCTACCAGCCTTACTGTATTCCTTCCTGGGCGTAAACGGTATCAGTGTTCCTCAATCCAAGGGTCCGGAAGGGACCTTACCCCCTTCTCAGTTCATACTGACCCACTATGGTCCCCATCCTTTGTAACCGAGAACTGGTTGATCCTCACGTTTTCCCGTGATGTTTTCTGAGACCATGACATCCTGAAGCATCTAAGGGCAAACCTGGAAAGTTCCCATCTGGCCAGATGGAGTTATGGTGCCTGTGGGAAGCAGAGGGTGCAAAGCTCTTAAGGAAGTTGGAAAAACTAGGGATGCTTGTCTCCTTCAGGTAGAAGAGATGACCTCTCCGTTCCTAGCTGGGCGGGCGGAGAGGCTGGTCCTTAGAGCCATAATTTAGCAAACTCCAAGAAGGCTATGTGAAGTGCTCTTCTAGTAGAACATTAGGGTTAATCACTCTGTTAAGCCTTTTCATTTTCTAAATTCCTGACTGCTTAGCCCTGTGTAATCGTGGATGGGAGGAGTCCCTCCTCGGATGAGACTTTTGCTCATTTGTTCCTCCAGTGACACAATTTTAGGTCTTGTTACTGTGCCAGCATCTACTTCCCAGCTGCCGCTGCCCTGTAGGCACATGTAGGATGTAGCTTCAGCCCTGCTCATCGCTCCCTGTCTTTTTACAATTTTTGGTCCACTTGATGCTTATCTTGTTTTTGAGTCCAGTTATTTCCTTTTGGTTTCTCTCTCTTTTTTAAATGTCTTGTTGCTATATGCAACGAGAAGAATTTTCTATGTCATCTGAGAGGAAGCCTGAGGGTCTGAAAGTGGGCTTCCTATACTGCTGTTTTAAAGCAGATGAATAAATGGTCAGGGTACTTAAAAATCAGCCCTGGGATTAAGAAAGACTTGGGGGTGGCCTCCCTGACTGCTTTTACTGCAATATGCCATCCACTTACATCGAATGCCAGAACAGGAAGCAACCTAGGGAAAACCTCTGCTCTGCGTCAGAGCTGTTGAGGACCCTGTTCTTTACCTACTGCCTTTAAAAAAAAATGAGGTTCCGGGGAGAAACCTCTGTCAGCATGAGGAATCATGATGCCTCTCTCAGGGGACAAGAACACTGAATCCTGTTTCACTTTCTCTACTGATCTTAGGATATCACAGTGAAACTGGTGACCCGCGTATTCAAGAGCACCAGGCCGCCTTTTCAGTGCTCCTCTGTCTTCAACTTGTTTCCTGTCCTTACTTTAAGAGTCCAGAAATACACTTATTATTGCACTGTATGAATTTATGTCATTTATCTTAAAGTCCTTTTTGCATGAAGGCCTAGTATAACCTAATAAAAACAGCCTCACCTCATCTTCCCACTTGGACTGGGCAGCAGTAGTGTGTATCAGCACACTTTGGCTCCTGGTACGGTGCTGGCTGGTTAATGTCGGCTGCTGACGTTATAAACACATACACAGCCCCTTCCTCATTCCGCCTCCCACCCCTCAAGCAAAGGAGGCCAGACTCTGGCTTAAGCGGGCTACCGGGCTTACCCCCCAGGTCCCCAACCTACCTCACCGCCCGCCTTCTCCCTCCATCCCGTTACCTCCACCCTCCACCCTGAGTGGCCTCCCCTGATCCCCTCCCACTCACCTCCCCGGGCACGGCCTCTCTTCTCCCTCCATCACCTCCCTTCCCCACACCCCTCCCTCCAGTCCAGGCCTCCCATCTCCCTCCATACAAACGTCCCCCTCCCCCGCCACCCCGCGGCCTTCTCCAGCCGGCGCGGCCTCTCCCCGGCGGCGCGGCCTCTTCCGGCCGGCGGGAGGGCGGGGCCGAGCGCTCTGGCGGGCCGGCCGGTGGTGCGAGCGTCCCGGGCTCGCGCTCCGCCGCCGGCCGGCCGGCCATGCTCATCACGCTGTGCTACCTGTACCTGTGGGCGCGCTGGGGGCACGGGCCTGCCGCGCTAGTGCGCACCACGGTGCAGCAGCTGCGGGCCTCGCGCTGCTCCTTCACCTTCTGCCGCGCGGGTGCGCAGCCCCGGGGCGCCCGCGTGTGCCTGAGCCGCGGCGGCCGCGTCTTCTGCGTCGGCGAGAGCCAGGTGGGCGGGCGAGCGCGGGCGCCGGGGGGCGCGGAAGGCGGGGCCGGGCGGGGCGGGGGCGCGGCCTCGGGGTCTGCCCGGTGCCGGAAGCGCCCCCGGGACCCCGCGCTCCGCCATGGGCTGTGCAGCCCGGGGGCACCCTCTGCGCCGCCGGGAGGTCGCGAGCCGCCGGGAGGTCGCGAGCGTGGGGTCTGGGGAGCGGCAGGCTCCGGGGCTCCACTGCACGCGATGCCCATGGAAGCCTGGATGAGACCGAAACTGTGACAGGCGATCTGGTCTCCTCTCCACGGGGTGCCGGCGCGAGCGTATGGTCGCCTGGCTCTTGGCGGTGCAAAGTAGGCTTGTGCCTGTGTGCCTGTGCGGAGTCGATTAGCACCTGAGCAGTGCCCACCTAGAGTCTCTTTCCTGACATCCTCTCCCGCCTACCCTGTGGGCTGGAGTTTGGTTGAACCTGATTTCAGAGAAAGACAGCAAATCCTCAGCTTTCTGTCAGGTGTTCCCGAGGCGACAAAAACTGCCCTGTCCCCCGCTCCTGTCAGCTGCGTCATTTACCAGTCGGGCACCTACTGATTATCTCTGAATCTTTTTAGTTTCGGTTTGCACACAATCTTGTCTTTTGGCCCAATACTTAGCCTGGTGGCTATAAGGCTGTAAGTTCAACCGGCTCTGTCACCCACAGTGTGACCTGGGGCTGTCGTTTGATCACTGCAAAACCTCAGCTCTCTTTCTGTGAATGGGAACAATAGTTCTTTCCACTCAGCTATCAGAAATGGGCTTCACAGTGCAGTTCTGTGCAAATTTCCATTGACTTCACCCACTTTGTCATTAACATTTAAAAGTGTTTTGCTTTTGATGGCTTTCTTGTCCTTTCCTCTTCCTTCTGGAAAGTTCGATCACTCATAGCATTAAAATGAGATTTTCTTTGTGTGTGAAACCATACACCATGTGGGAATTAAAATCTTATCTCAGGTTTGAATATTTTGTTGAGGTTATGCTTAGACATGGGATTATACTTTGATGCTACAAATCAAAAATACCCATCTGGGACTTCCCTGGTGACGCAGTGGTTAAGAATCTGCCTGACAATGCAGGGGACACAGGTTCGAGCCCCAGTCCTGGAGGACCCCGCATGCTGAGGAGCAACTAAGCCCGCGCACCACAACTACTGAAGCCTGCGCGCCTAGAACCCGTGCTCTGCAAAAAGAGAAGTCACCGCAATGAGAAGCCCGCGCACTGCGACGAAGTGTAGCCCCCGCTCGGCGCAACTAGAAAAAGTCTGCAAAAGCCCGCGGGCAGCAACAAAGACCCAAGGCAGCCAAAAATAAATAAATAAATTTATTTATTTATTTTTAAAAAATGCCCATCCTTGTTGGTATACTATATAACACAGAATATGATAAGTTCTAAGAGAGTGCATATATAATATCGCCTAGGTGTTCATTCATTACATACAATGGACTCCTGAGGGAAGGAGGGCTTAATTCTTGTAAGGAACCCTGACTGAGAAAGATAATAAAATGAGGAAAAATTGAGGGGTGGATTTTTTTATAGTAGTGGTTTCCAAACTGGATTCATTTACTTTAAAAATAACCTCTAGGGACTTTCCTGGTGGGGCAGTGGTTAAGAATCTGCCTGCCAATGCAGGGAACACGGGTTCGATCCCTGATCGGGGAAGATCCCACATGCCATGGAGCAACTAAGCCCATGCGCTACAAGTACTGAGCCTGCGCTTTAGAGCCCGCGAGCCACAACTACCAAAGTCCCCACCGCTAGAGCCCGTGCTCCACAACAGGAGAGGCCACCCTGATGAAAAGCCCACACAGCTCAAGGAAGAGTAGCCCCCTGCTGGCTGCAACCAGAGAAAGCCCGCGCGCGCAACGAAGACCCAAGGCAGCCAATCAATCAATCAATCAATCAATTTATTAAAAAAAAACACCTCTAAGAGATTTAGATTAGAGTAGAAATAATGAACATCCAAAAAATAATGAGATGCAAATGTCTTTAATTCTCTTGGGAGACAGTTTTACTTTTGCACATCTCCATGACTTTATTGGGCTTCTGTTAGCTTTGATAACTGTGACTAATGCTCTTCAGCCCTTGTTGACTGCTCCAGCAGGGTGTAGGGACACCTGGGCCAAACCCGCTTTGGACTTTCGGGGTTTTTGTAACTTGCTGTCCTCCTTAGAGCTTTGCCCAGAAATCACTGTCTCACAGAGATGTCCCTGAGTTTCCAGACTAGATGTGACCAGCCAGCTCTGTATGCTCATAGACTTTAAATTGCACTTCATATTTCCAGTTTTTATTATTTTTTTATTGTGACATTTTTTTTTCATTTTTTAAATTGAAGTGTAGTTGATTTACAATGTTGTGCTAATTTCTGCTGTATAGCAGAGTGGTTCAGTTATATATATATATATATATTCTTTTCCATTATGTCCGGTTTTTATCCTTTTCTCCCTAGGAACTGGGTCTGTTTAGCTAAGCAGCTTGACCTGTAATAGTTACTCAGTATTTCAACAAATGAAGTAGTGGTTGTTGAGTTTAAGCTCTGATGTTCGAGGCCTATAGTTGGAAAGTTTGACTATTTGTCATTAGCTACTGTTACTTAAGATTGCAGATATCGTGGGGCTGGTGATTTGGTTCAGTACATATCTATTGTCGGTCTACCTGGGCTGGAGTAACTTTACAGAACTGAATCTTATGCCTTTGCTGTCTCCATACCTTATATACTTAAAATCATATGCATAAGTACTGAAAGTGTATGTTTATATAATTGAAGGTCCCCCAAGAACTGGTAAGTATCACCAAAGAGAGTTTATACAAACCAGAAATTTTAAGCTTTTTGTTTAATATACACATTTTCTATGAGTAAAGTGGACAGTCTGTCTTTTGTTTTTAACTATTATATTGATAATTATGTTTACCCATAGGAAGAGTTTTTTTCTCCCTCATTTTCATTCATTAATTGGTTCAACAGATATTTATTAAGCTGCTGCTTTGTGCCGGGTTGCTAGGCCTGGTGAAAATACTTTCCGTTCTTCCCAGCAAGGGCAGATTTGAACTGATAAGCAACTATGGAGCTTGACCCAAATGCCTTTTTTTTTGCGGGGGCGGGGTGATGATAAAGCCCCCCGCCCCGGACGGGCAGCCTTAGATTTCAGCTTTTTCTGCTAAGGATGTGCCTTGTTTTTAGTGTAGATTAACGTACAGTCCTTTTAGAGAAATTTCAGGAGAAGAGCAGAGACTAATGGACACATCCAATCTGCTAACCAATCTTTTTTTTTTAATTAAAAAAAAATTAATTTATTTTTGGTTGCGTTGGGTCTTTGTTGCTACGCGAGGGCTTCCTCTAGTTGTGGTGAGCAGGAGCTACTCAGTTGCTGTGCGCGGGCTTCTCATTGCGGTGGCTTCTCTTGTTGCGGAGCACGGGTTCTAGGTGCGCGGGCTTCAGTAGTTGTGGCACGTGGGCTCAGTAGTTGTGGCTCGTGGGCTCTAGAGCTCAGGCTCAGTAGTTGTGGCGCATGGACATAGTTGCCCTGCAGCATGTGGAATCTTCAGGACCAGGGCTCGAACCCGTGTCCCCTGCATTGGCAGGCGGATTCTTAACCACTGCGCCACCAGGAAGTCCCTGCTAACCAATCTTGATGCTGTAATGGCTGGAGGAAAAGGAGGGATAGCCCTTCGGGCATCTGTCAGTAACAGGCTTCTGCTGACCATCATGCACTTCTGAGCCACCTCATCTTTTCCTTTCTTTTTGGCCACGCTGAGCAGCATGTGGGATCTTAGCTCCCCGACCAGGGATCAAACCCGTGCCCTCTGCAGTGGAAGCACGGAGTCTTAACCACTGGACCGCCAGAGAAGTCCCTGAGCTGCCTCATCTTTAAATGTGCTTCCAAGTTGTAATTTGGAAGGTTCCTACATGCTCTCAGCAGTAAGGAATGGTGGGAATAAGTTTCAGAATTAATTGCTTGATAAGAAATGTCTAGAGATGTTAAAACTGTCATGAGACATCGAGGGATGTTGCAGCTGTTTAAACAGTCACAGTTAAACAAAAAAATGCAGGGTTAATATGGTCTATAGGAAAGCATCCAATGACCTTATTTATTTAGATGCCACCTGGAATTGCAGAGGCGGGGCTTTCCTGGATGTTGATATAAATAGCAGTTGTGGTTTGAAGTCATATTGAATCCTTCCTTTTTGTGTTTCTTTCCCTCTATCCAGTCCATTGATGACTTGAACAAATGGGCCCTGTTTCTGGTTTCTCCTTTTATACTTGAAGCAGAACACATAGCATTTGTGACAGAGAGCATTTGGGTGCAAGGTGACACTTTACAGAGACCATCGTCCTCTTTGGAAACTGTGAGTACCGTGTTTTTCATTTGTGTACCATAATCAAAACTAATTTGGTATTTTTATGAGTGCTCTTTCCTGGCCTTTGTGATTGATTCCCTTTCTTTTCTGATATTTTGGGTTAAATAAAAATATATTAGTAGGGAATTCCCAGTGGTTAGGTTTCGGCACTCTCACTCTCTCACTGCTGGGCCCAAGTTTACTCCCTGGTCAGGGAACTAAGATCCCGAAGGCTGTGTAGCATGGCCGGGGGGGTGGGGGGAAATTATATATATATATATATATATACACACACACATATATATACATATATATATGTAAAATTACTTTCACCTGTTTCTTTTTAACTTTTTTTTTTTCTTTTTTTTTTTTTTTTTTTTACGGTACACGGGCCTCTCACCGCTGTGGCCTCTCCCGCCGTGGAGCACAGGCCCCGGACGCACAGGCCCAGCCGCTCCGCGGCATGCGGGACCCTCCCGGACCGGGGCACGAACGCGCGGACTCTCAACTACCGCGCCACCAGGGAAGCCCTCTTTTTATCTTTTTAATGTGGCTGTTAGATTTAAACCTACCTGTGTTTTGGGACTTCCCTGGCAGTCCAGTGGTTAAGACCCTGTGCTTCCACTCTACACTGCAGGGGCCACGGGTGTGATCCCTGGTTGGTGAACTAAGATCCTGCATGCAATGCGGTGCAGCCAAAAAAGAAAAAGAAAAAAGCTGCCTGTGTTTTAAGTTGTTTTGTGGCTTGAGGTATGCTGTTGCGCAGCGCTAATCAAGTCTCTCCCCAGGTCATAGGGTCCCGCCCCACAACTTATTGCTTCCAAAATCAGATGATTTATATTGCCGCATACTTCCTGGAGATTCCACCCCAAGTATTCTGAAAGCACTTCAAACTCAGTAATGTGTCCCACACTGGTTGTTTATATTCCTCTGCTGGAAAAAAAGAAAATCTCAGGTGAACACCCCAAACTGTGCTTCCTTTCACCCCCTCCTGCGTCCTTCCTGCCATTCGGTTAGGGGTTCTACTCATTCCACTCCCCAGGTGTCTCCGCTTTACTCCTTCACTTCCGTCCCTCCTCATTCCATTCTCTTCTTCATTATCTTTTTGTTGAAACTGTGAAGATGTCATCCCATCTTGGGTGCCTTCAGTGCGGTTTCCTCTGGATGGCCAGTTATCTTTCTAGACATACATCCAGTGGGCTTGTACTCTGGTGTAAGCTCTCCATGGATGCCTTCTGACCAAAGCCAGCACCTCTCAGGTTCATGGAAATCTGACCCTAACCCCCCTTGTGTGCTGCTTCTGCTTGGGTGTCTGTGACGAGTCCTTTCTGCCTTCACTCACCCACCGTATGTTCCCTGCGTGCCGCGTGGATAATCCAGGAGGGGTTTTGCTGATGACAGAAAGTCATAGTCACTGGACCTCCATCTCACAAACACTGTCTTTAAGAAATTATATTGGGGACCTCCCTGGTAGTCCATTGGTAAAGAATCCGCCTTACAGTGCAGGGGACGAGGGTTCGACCCCTGGTCAGGGAACTGAGATCCCACATGCCGCGGGGCAACTGAGCCCGTGCGCCGCAACTACTGAGCTCGTGTGCCACAACTACGGAGCTCGCCTGCCTCAGCTGGAGCCCAGGCATCACAGCTACAGAGTCCTCGCGCCCTGGAGCCTGTGCGACACAACTAGAAATAGAAAAACCGCTCGCCACAACTAGAGAAGCCTGTGTGCCTCAGCGAAGATCCTGAGTACCACAACTAAGACCCGACGCAGCCAAAAATAAATTAAATAAATATTAAAAAAAAAAAAGACATTGGATTTGGATGAACAAAAAGGAAGAGAGGAATAAGACTGGAAATAATTGACTACAACTCAAGGTGGATAGAAATGAGAGTTAGGAGATAGGTGAAGTAAAGGAGAGCAGGAAACTCTCCTTTGTTTGGGGCTCGGGAGGGGGCATAGGATTTGGCAGGTAGCCTGAGAGTAGCCTAGTATGCTACGACATTACGTTTTCTCCTGCAGGTTCCTACTGTTTTATTAAGCCTTATATATACTTATGATAATAATGATAAAATTTATTGAGCCCCTGCTTGGCATGTATATGTATTACCTGTAATGCTTACAATTCTACAAGATATTATTGTAATTTGTTTTTTTTTTTTTTTTTTTGGCTGTGGTGTGTGGCATGTGGGATCTTAGTTCCCCAGCCAGAGATCGAACCCGTGCCCCCTTCAGTGGAATCGTGGAGTCTTAACCACTGGACTGCCAGGGAAGTCCATTATTGTCATTTTTAAAGATAAGAAAACTGAAGTTATCAGATTAAAGGTTGAAGTTTTCTTTTTTTAAAAAAAATTATTTATTTATTTTGGGCTGTGTTGGGTCTTTGTTGCTGTGTGCGCGCTTTTTCTAGTTGTGGTGAGCAGGGGCTACACTTCGTTGCAGTGCACGGGCTTCTCATTGTGGTGGCTTCTCTTGTTGCAGAGCACGGGCCCTAGGCGTACGGGCTTCAGTAGTTGTGGCGCAGGGGCTTAGTTGCTCTGCGGCATGTGGGATCTTTCTGGACCAGGGCTCAAACCCGTGTCCCCTGCATTGGCAGGCGGATTCTCAACCACTGTGCCACCAGGGAAGCCCTTGAAGTTTTCTTATATATTCTAATGCTATATATATTTAGTAAGATTTCAATTTAAAATGAGGGCCAGAACTTCTAAAATATTGCAATTACATAAAATATTAAATATGCATGGATTCCTTTTTAACACAAAAATATGACTGCTGTGTTCTTAATTTCCTAAATTGTTGTTACTTAGTGTATATCTTTATACACATAGCATTTAAAATATTTTATTTATTTATTTATTGTTTTGGCCATGCTTTGTGGCTTGTGGGATCTTAGTTCCCCGACCGGGGATCAAATCCTTCGGTGGAAGCACGGAGTCTTAACCACTGGACTGCCAGGGAAGTCCACACACAGCATCTTAAGCAGCACAGTTACTGTATTATGTAACGTACAGTCTAAGCTGTTGTAACAAATGATACCCAGCCCACAGTGGTTCAAAGAAGAAGTTTACTCATCTCTGAAGGCGTGGTCTTGCTCTGGAAGGCCATCCAGGGACCCAGCTCCCTTCTATCTTGTTGCTCTGTTGTCTCCCCTCTGCCATCCTTCTTCTCTCTTGGTGGAGGCTGGTTCCTGCTACCCCCCCGCCCCCCCACTGCCAACCTCATCCACATCCCAGCCCTCAGAATGGGGGACGAAGAAGGACGGTAGGGACCAACCAGGTTCCTCTTTAAAACTGTGATCTAGAACTTTCACTTGTCACTTCTGCTCCCATCACTTAGCTGCAGGGGAGGCTGAGAAATGCAGTCCATAGCTGGACAGCCATGGATTCGGTAGAAACCTGGAGTTCTGTTATTACAAGGGAGAAAAAAAGGCTAGATATTGGCAGATAATTAGCATTTCTGTCACAGTTATTTAATTTACCTTCTAAGGGTAATTTAATTAAGATCTCGCTTAATGGCGGTTACTTAATTCTTAACTTTCTGGGGGTAAAATCATGCCTACCCACCAAGGGTACTATCTAGTTAACTCATCGTTTTTGTGATCAGAGGGTTTGGTGGGTCTTGCAGCCAGGAGCTGGAGATGTCTAGAGCCATATGTTGGACCACTCTGGCTATTACACAGAGCTCCATTTTGTAAACTGGGCTTCAGATCTTTTTTTAAAAAATAAATTTATTTTTATTTATTTATTTCTGGCTGCACTGGGTCTTCGTTGCTGCGCGAGGGCTTTCTCTAGTTGCGGTGAGCGGGGGCTACTCTTCCTTGCAGTGCGCGGGCTTCTCATTGCGGTGGCTTCTCCTGTTGCGGAGCACGGTCTCTAGGTCCGCGGGCTTCAGTAGCTGTGGCACGCGGGCTCAGTAGTTGTGACTCGTGAGCTCTAGAGCACAGGCTCAGTAGTTGTGGCACACGGGCTTAGTTGCTCCGCGGCATGTGGGATCTTCCCGGACCAGGGCACGAACCCGTGTCCCCTGCATTGGCAGGCAGATTCTTAACCACTGCTCCCCAGGGAAGTCCCTGGGCTTCAGATCTTAAAAAGGAGTTGATTTCACAGGTCTCTGTCTTCTCAGTCTGCTGTTACCATTCAGGTTGATTGTTTGATGGGATTTTGCAGCTTGGGGGCTCTTATGACTCTATGTATTTTTCACCTAACGCTAAAGTCATTTGAATTTGACAGGATCCTAAGATATTTAACAGCAAATACATTATGGAGGAAAGACTTTTGAACTTGTTGAGACCTTACATTCTTTCCCATTTTTAGGATTGTACAATACCATGCTTACAGATGCAATACCGTTCTTACAGATGTCAGAAAAGGACATCTTTTTTTTTTTTTTTTTTTTTTTTTTTTTTTAGAAAAGGACATCTTTTGAAACTTTGGATATCTCAGATGGCTTGCATCTGTGGTTTTTCTACACACCCCCAACAGCAAATGAATGAATCTCAGGAATTAAGTTTAAAAAATGTAGCATTCACATATTCCTATTTTCACTTAGTCATTCTTTCACTAACAGATATTTATTGCACAGTAGACTGTGTTCTAATTATTTTGTTAGGTGCCACAGTAGATACCAATGGGTTGTGGCAGATTCAGCTCAATTTTCAGTATCTTCTGTGCTTACATTAGCAATCCTGTTCTGTAAGAATCTCTGACCCAGAGAACTTACACAGTTCTCTTATTGCAGAAAGTTCACTCAAGTTCCTATTGTTCTATCAAGGCCTTCATTCATTCCTCCATCCAAGGTTTACTGAGTGCCTATTTTGTGCCAGATTGTGTACTAGGGCTGGAGGTATGTCGTATGGAGATGAAAGATGCCTTTAGAGACGACAGTCACGGTCATCTTAAGGAGCTCACAGTGTCAGGGAGAAGACAGCTAAGGAAAGGAACAATTAAAGTTCATTGTGGGGCTTCCCTGGTGGCGCAGTGGTTGAGAGTCCGCCTGCTGATGCAGGGGACAC